AAAAGGGCTTAGGAAATCTAAACTTCATGTACTGCAAACATGTACTAACAAAAAAAAATTTAATAAATAAAAATCTGAAGGGAATAATGGGAGAAGTGTTTTTCCTTTATTTGCAGGGCTAGGGATTAAACTCAGTCCTCGCACATGCTGGGTAACTGTTCTATCACTGAGCTACATCCCCAGTCTGAAGAAAGTGTTGGAATATATAATTTTAACACATTCATCTTCATGCCAACACAGTCATAAAATGTCATTTTAAATATTTTTCTACAAGGGGTCCACATAGGCAGAGGTACCTAGAGGCCCCACCAAAAGTTATACAATGGCCCTATCTAGTAAGAGTTTTCTTTACAGTTGCTCTATTAATTATGTGGCACAGCTTGGATAGCTCATCTGTCCCTCTCTACAAGCCAGGGGAATAAAAACATGTGTCCTCCTAATGGTAGAAGAGCATATCATCTCCATTGGAAAAAACAGCACACACCAGTAAATTTAATCCCCCAGTGCTAATTTCAAATTTAAATAAACATGGAGTTCAAAAACATTTATTTCCAGGTGCTAGAGGACACAGGGATAAACAGAAGGAACATAAACTTCCTAGGATATAAGAGATTAAGATGGTAAGCAAGGTCACACAAGACATATGATAGCAAGGCTGTCAGTTCTTACCAAACTGCAAAGCAGGCATTAACTTCATTTTTACAAAAGAAGAAACAATGGCATAGAACAACTGAGTGGCTTATCCCAAGCCTCAACCAATGTATACCAGGCAGGGCATTTGAATAACAGGACTCCGACCCCAAGACTTGGTCTGAGACAGTGCTCATCACAGAAAAGACACTCAATAAGCCAGATAATATAGAACTGAGTGTCACCCCAAAGGATCATATATTTTCTCACATCAGCCTTTCAATCTACCTTTTACAGATTTATTAAAGCATATTTTACATGTCATAAAATTACCCCATTTCAAGTAGACAATTTAGTGGTTTTTAATAAATGTACCAAGCAGTGCAATCATTGCTATAAATCAATTTTAAAACATTTTTGTCGCCCAGTAAGCCTCATGCCCATTTTCTGTTAATCTTCATTCCTACTCCCTGCTCTTAGGCAAGCACTAATACACTTCCTATCTCTATAAACATGCCTTTTTTGCACAACTCACATAAACAATATCATAAAATATTTGAACTCTTTTGCCTGGTTTCTTTCACGTTTTTCATAAGCATCCACGAGGCAGCGTATGTTAACATTTTGTTCTTTGTTATTGATGAACGGCATTCTATTATATGAACACACAATATTTAGTTTCTCCATTCAGGACTGACATTTAGGATATCTCCAGTTTTTGATCCTACTAATAATGCTGTTACAAATCTCTGCACACATGTTGTTGTGAAGATATAGGTTTTCATTTTTCTTGGGTAGAGACCTGGGGGAGGAATGGCCTGGGTTCTATGGTAATTTTATGTTGAACTTTTTGAGAAACTTACAAGTTATATTCCAAAGTGACTGCCATGTGGCTCCAGCATATCCCTCACAGCAAAGTTAGAAGGTTCTAATTTCCCTACATCCACATCCATTTGTTACTGTCTTTTCTTTTCTTTTTTTTTTTTGCTACCAAGGATTGAACTCAGTACCTTGTGCTTGTGAGACAGGTGAAGGAACCACTGAGCTAAATCCCTGGCTCGACTGTCTTTTTATTCTAATCATTTAAGTAGGTATGAACTGGTATCTTATTATGGTTCTGATTTACATTTCTCTAATTACTAGTGATATGGAACACCTTTTTTTGGTCACTTGTTTATATTTTCTATAGAAATGCCTATCCTGTATCCTTGGCCCATGTTTTGATTGGATTATCTTATTACTGGTTTATCATTATATATATTCTAGATGCTAATGCTTTATTAGATTTGTGTTTTACAAATATTTTCCCAGTCTGTTGTTTATCTTTTCATTTTCTTAGTGGTGTCACATGAGATGTAAAAGTTTTGAATTTCAGTCAGGGCCATTTTATCAATTTTTCATAAATGAATGCTTACATTTATATATTTCTGACAAATGCAACTCATTGAAGACAGCCTGGCAAACAAATGGCCTGGGACAATTCAACAGCCACCTGCACAAAGATGAACAGAGCTGGGCAGAGTGGCATGTGCTTGTGCATCCCTGTACTCTGGGAGGCTGAGGCACAAGTACAAGTTTGAGCCTAAGCTGAGCAACTTAGGTGGCTTAGCAAGATTGTGTCTCAAGATAAAAAATAAAAAAGAGCTAGGGTGTAACTCAGTGAGGAAGGCCCTGGGTTCAATTTCCAGTTCCAGGGGGATTTTAAAAAAGATGAATTTAGACTTTCACTTACACCATACATAAAAATTAACTCAAAATGGCCCACTGACTTAAACTTCAAGATTGTAACAATAAAGCCTTTAGAAGGAAACATGGGACCTTTCAAAGTCTTTGGTTAGAAGAAATTTCTTTTTCATCTATTCCAGAATCCCTGTTCTGATCAAACACAATGTGTGTGTCATGTGTACACGCATGTGTGCATGGCAGGTGTGTATAGTGTCGGCAGAGGTAGACATAGCCACTTTCTGTCAAAAGGAGGAAATACTTCACTGGGATTGGTGACTAAAGTTTGAATTATCAATGACATAAAAATGTTGAAAGAAAATATGCAAGGGATAAGTGGCAAGTCAGCCAGAATAGAACATCCAGAACTTGGCAGGAATAAAGCTGGGTAAAGCAATAAATTAATCCCCTCTTCAAATAGTACACAATGAGTACCCACATTTAAGGCTAAGAAACAGGGAATGCAGGTGGTAACGGACCGGTTAAGATCAAGGAAAAGACAAATCTCCCACAGAAAGTTGAATCTTAATCTATGAGTTTAAAAGATGTTTACATAAAGTTATTATTATTATTATTGTTTTGGTACCAGGGATTGAATTTGGGACCTCGCGCTTGAGAGGCAGGCGGCGGCACCACTGAGCTAAATCCCTGGCCTGCTAATGTAGAATTTTTACAGCCAACTGCCTTCAACGTGTGTTAGAAGAAATCACTGAAGCATCTATAAACGTAAATTCATCAATACAAAATTGTTAGATACAAAGCCTCACTTACGAAGGTATTTTCTTCTAGTAGATTCCCCGGATTGCACTTCAAATTGTCAGTGACTATTTCGTGGTTAGACCGTCTCTTCCACCCCACAGGGGGACGCAGGGGAATGCTGGAATAACGCTTGGCTCCTTGTGTTCACCGTGAGTCACTGAGTGACCTTCTCCTTGCCTTGCCTGTGTCTCATCATGGAGCTGGGGAATCTTTTGCTAAAGTCCAAATCTTTGCAAAACCCCAATTGCCTCTTTCAGAATGAAATTTATTTTCAAAACATACTGTCTGGTACAATTAAATTATTTTATTGCTTACTGGCATTTTAATATCTTTGCATTACTTTCAGGTACACCTTGTTATTTATACATCTACCTTCCCTCATAGGAAAAGAAACATGTTTTATTGTGTTTTAATCCCTTTTATGAGTGGTTTTTAAATCACTAGACCCCTGCTTTGTAACATATGATAAGGTTCTTGGAACATAATAAACACTTGATATATTTTGGTTGGAATGAAGTAAATATTAATTTTTAGTACTACAGTTTTAAAGTTACATTTGATTAGACTCAAGGTCCAATGCCAGATAATATACCACTGAATATGTCAAATTACTAAAATAATATTCTAGGAAAGACACATACGTTCGTCACTAATGCAGTGAAGGGTAATCCCTCAATGCCAAGAGCCAAATGCCAACTTTTTCCATGTCACCCAGTGACATGGTGTTCCCTTATTTAGTCTATGGAGAAATGTTCTATCCTCTGAGGTCATAGGCTTTACCTAAGTCTCCTGCACAGTGTGAAAGTTGGACCTTTTTCCTTGAGACTGAGGACTGAGTATGGGAATATAAAGCAAGAAGTGCTCCAAGCAAAACCAGCCTTATTATCTTTGCATCATTGCTAACATGTTCTAATAATCATTTCCATCTCCAAAAAAATGTAGAAACAATTTATTAGCTCATCACAAGTTCACATAAATCTGAAAGAGGAGTGCTAAGTAGTGTATAAAGATATTTTTCTTTCTGACTTCTTGTTATTGAGTGGACATTGGCAAAACACACAGGCGATGAAGTTTAGCACTTCACAAAAAACAAATTAATTCACAAACTCTCAAAATACTATACTTTCCCTCTTGCCTGAGATCCAGCTGCACTATTTCTGAGTAATTTTCTCTACTTCTATCTGCGGGGACCTTTCCAGTTACCACTCCCAGCCTTGAGCAACCTGGAGCCATTTAAGTCTCACTTAAGAGTCTTAACCTGACCTCAGGGCCTGGGCCAGTGCTCTCTATTGTAAGAATTTTTAGAAGCCTTGGCCTAGTAGCTAATCTGCTCAGCATCAGATTTGCTGCTCTGATACTGGAACCTGGCTTCAGGCACTAAGATTTTACCTGGTTATTTGTAACCAAGCCCCTATCTCGTACCACTAGAAACTAGATCCTGGATCCATTCATCCAGGGTGACCCACAATCCTTCCTTGGGACGTTGTGCTGTGTCTCACTTGGTGCAGTACTTCTCGTAGTGCTCTGTGGGTTTATGTAGCGACTCCCTGGGGACTCAGTCTTCAAAGTGTGTCCCAGGTACACACCACATTCTATCTGTGACATCTGGATCTCCACTTATTGTGTATTGTCAGATGCCCCTGAAGTCACGTCTATGCTCGAGCTAAATTTCCTACCAAATGTCAGTTCCTTTCTCCACCCTCTGCCTCGACACTGGCGGGATTGTTGGGACTTGAGTCCTGGCCAGGCACAGACTGATCCATCTCAATGCTGACCTCTAATTCTAATACTCAAGTAGCTCAAGCGATACCTTTATTTTACAATATTTCTAAAGATGCTTCACTAAAAATATATACGCTGGCTGAAATGCCAAAAGGTATTCCCCGTACCTGTCTGAGTGAATCCTGCTTTGTATCCATTAGTTGTCCCATTTTCTGGGGTCACAGCTGATACTGAAGAGTTTGGTTTAATAGAGTGGCAAGTTGTAGAGGATTGTCGGCTTCTACATTCTGAAAAGGAATAAAAATGGTATTATATGAAGACATCAAACCCCATTCGGTACAAATAGGTACTAGGGACACAAAGTGCTCCTGTATTACTGATAGCCACTACTTTACCACAGGGCCCTACTCCCTAATGCTGACCCCAACATTATTCTAGTGAATAGTTCTTCCTGGAGCCAGATGTCAGGCCTGGAAGGAAAAGCACCACCAGGCCCTAGTTCCCCACAGACTAGTTCCTGGGGGGACAGCACTCACACATCCAGTGTAGTGAAGCTGGTTCAAGAAGGAGGTTGAAATATCAGTAATTTCTAAAAACCCAGTAAGCTTCAGAAACACAAATCTTCTGACTAGAATTTACAGAATTTAAAAGTCTAGTAGCCTTCAACATTTTCTACTCAACCTTAATTTGTGTTAAAAAAAAGAAACAAAGAAAAATGTGCAAATAAAAAAGAAAAAGAAATTCCCAAATTATTATTATTCTAAGTTATTAATAAAGGTACACATGGATGATATTCAAAATGATTACTAATTATGCAGTTCCAAGCTCCATATTAAGGGGCTCACTGTGTAGTTCAGGCTGACCTTGAACTCACTATGAAGCCCAGGCTGGCCTCTAACTTTTAGTGATACTCCTGCCTCAGCCTTCTGGGTGCTAGGGCCTCAGGCATGCACCACTATGGCTGGCTAAGCTTCACATTAAGTGTCTATTAGTGGGACTCTGGTAGGACACCTTAACAGTGCTTTGCACTGATTCAGGTAGATAGCAAATACTATGACAGCCTGTTGGACTGTAAGTTCCAACCAAATTACTGAATAGTAGTCTTAGAAAGTAGTGTACAAAACAAGAATAGAAATGGTTGTATGTGACAAAGTTAAGTTAAAGGGTCCCTTAGAGGGCTTCCAAGTTGATAGGATAGGCACAGGGCTGAAGGCTGATTTCTCAAGTGTCTGCCCTACGACCTTCTATAAAAAGCTAATGCACAGCTGGGGATGTAGCTCAGTGGCACTGCATTTGTATGGCAAGCACAAGGTCCTGAGTTCGATCCCCAGTACCAGAAAAAAAAAAAAGCTATTGTACTTTGGCCTACAAGCCTGTTTCCACATTATGTGTGTTATATGCATATATGTATTTAATATTATATTTTTTTACTTATGCATAGGAACATATACAATTCCAATTTCAAACTGCTACTGCTCTAAACAGGAGGCTTCTTAAACAAATGCTATTCTTCAACAGAAAGATGAGTTCTTTTTTTTTTTAGAAAGATGAGTTCTCATTAGGCACTAAAGAAAAAATTAAAGACATCTGAATAAATACACTTGCTAAAAAATAAAGTTCAAAGGTAGAGACATGATCTCTATTCTTACCCTTCAAAATTTATTAGCATAAAGAACTGTCTCTAATTCACTGTGCTTATGATTCAGTGGCTGCAAGCTTTAAATTTTGATGACACTCAGCTTGGAACGTGTAGTTATTTCACAAGGAATTACACAATTGCACTTCAAATGCAACCAAGAATAACTATAATGAAAGACTCAGAGACAAATCTGCTATAGTAACTGGAATTTATTATGCTATTTTTCATGGTCAGGCAAAAATCTTATAGAGGCAATAAACAGAAACATTACAGAGAGTTATTCTACAGAAAAAAACTCAGTATCAATAAACTATTAGATAGGTTAAGGGATTAGATAATCTATTACATCAGAGCAATGCTAGAACTTGTAGCAATTCCCATCAAACACATAAAGTGGGGCTGGGGATTTAGTGCCTGCCTCACAAGTACAAGATCCTGAGTTTGAGCTCTGGTACCAAACAAAACAAAACACACATGAAGATGTCAAGTTTCAACTGGATTTTTTCTTTTTCTTTCCAGTCCTGGGATTTAACTTAGTGCCTCCACATGGAGCTACACAGCTTTTTTTTTTTTTTAATTTTGAGACAAGTTTCACTAATTCACTAAATTGCTCACACACACACACACACACACCCACCCAGTACCGGGGATCAAACTTGGATCCTGGCGCTTGCGAAGCAGATGCTGAAACCACCGAGCTAAATCCCTGGCCCTACCATCATCCTTTAAAGATTCATCTTTACAGACAGCGTAGTTAAGTTCTTCCAAATTAAAATGAAAAAACAAAACAAAACCTTACCAACTTAATAGTGTATTTTCCCAAGTATTATGAAAACTGCATCGCTTAGGTCCAGTTAAAATAGAAAAATGAGGGCCAGGGATTTATTTCAGTGGTTCCACCTCCTGCCTTGCAAGCACAAGGACCTGAGTTTGATCCCCGGTAACAGAAAAAATAAAAATGAGACACTTGAGAATTACCAAAGAATTTAAGTAAAGTAAAAAGAGCATCAACCACTTTGAGGTCCTACTAAGACAGGAGAGCTTTTTCAGGAGAGAAAGAGCTCATTTCCCCACTGAGAGCTTCATACATTTCCTGGAGACACACATTTTACTAAACTTCAATATCTTTTAAGAACAAGAAGGAGCAGGTCCAACAACCTACTTGAGGGCTTTACATTTTTGGATAACCTTCTGAGCTTGAGCTCTTTATCTATATCTCCTGAACTCTGAACCCGGAAGCTTTCCTGTCACCATCACCAAGTCCCCACACCCTCCCCATTCCTTCCTGGAAGGTGATTACCTTTCCAGCAGATAAGCGGTCCCTTGGACAGCACACCCTGGGAAGTTCTGACTAGGTAGTACTTTAAGTGCTTCTGCTTCTTTGGCTGGGTGGTGAGCTTCAAGTTAATGTGGTTGGAAAATTCCGTGAAATACCGAAATCCTCTTTCTCCACAGCCAATACAGTTTCCAGAAAACCCTGAAATGATAATGAGAAACCCAATGTTACTACTATGGCCTTGTAAGTTGATTTTTTTTTAAGTACTGGAAATTGAATATGCTAGGCAATTGTTCTTGTCTAAATTTGTGTGTATGTGTGTGTGTGTCCCCCAGTAGCAGGGACTGAACTCAGGACCTTGCACTTGTGAGGCAGTCAGGGCCACTCAGTGGTGCCACTGAGCTAAATCCCTGACCCTAAAATTATTATATTTTGAGATAGGATCTCGCTAAGTTGCCCAGGCTAACCTTGAACTTGAGATCCTCTTGCCTCAGCCTCTCAAGTTGCTGGGATTACAGACAAGCACCACCATGCCCGGCTGATAACAATATTTTTGTATGTAAAAGTATAGAAATAATTCACATTCTTTGACTTAATAATATCACAATTTAAGGAAAATAATTCAATGGGAAAATAGGTACAAAATTTTTTTAGTAGAATTATAACAGTAGGCAACTGGAAATAATTTAAATGTTGCTCTAAAAAATAATGACTAAGAGCCAGAATGGGTAGCATCGTGTGATAGAATTTATGTAGCATATATAAGAAGATGAAATGTCGATCCTAGAGTTGTGCATTACTTCCTCCCTACACACACTCTTCGTGGGAGCCTGGTTCTCTGCCCTGCCTGTTCTGTGAACTTGCCTCTTCTTTCACGGCAATATCTGACCCCATCTGGGACACACAGTCTCGAATTATATAATTTAAATGTTGCTCTAAAAAATAATGACTAAGAGCCAGAATGGGTAGCATCGTGTGATAGAATTTATGTAGCATATATAAGAAGATGAAATGTCGATCCTAGAGTTGTGCATTACTTCCTCCCTACACACACTCTTCGTGGGAGCCTGGTTCTCTGCCCTGCCTGTTCTGTGAACTTGCCTCTTCTTTCACGGCAATATCTGACCCCATCTGGGACACACAGAGTCTGGAATTATGAAATAAATAAAAAGTCAGCCAGATGGCAGAGAACTCGATTTATAAGGCTTTGCGACATGGGAAGACGAGCCAGGGCTGTGGCGACCACACACACACACACACACACACACACACTGAGGTGTCGGAGAGAACAAAGTGGGCACCGGGAAGAGGAAGCTGAGGGAGCAGAGGGCGTGGCCCACCTTGGCTTCTGTGAGCCAGCTGCACTCTCCGACGGGAGCGCCGCGAGATCCCCACGGCCTTCCTACTCAGCCTCTCTTTACTCACACCAGCTTATCATCCCTCAGATTTAACATCTGAACAACTCCTTACTCAGACTAATCAAACAAAATAAAGCTTTTTTATGGAGGAGGCTAGAAAACAAGGAGCCAGGCTTTCCTTTATTGAACATCAACTTTTCAGTTCCCTTCAGTACACGAGTAATACGGAAGGCAAGTAAGTGAGTCACTTCAGTGGTGTCTGAAGAGGACGTAACAAGAATGGGACAAAAGCTGCAAATAAGCTTGGCGTGGTGGTGCACCCCTGAAATCCCAACACTCTGGGAGGCAGAGGCAGGAGGATCACAAGTTCAAGCCCAGCCTGGGTAACTTAGAAAGACCCTGTCTCAAAATAAAAGGGGAGGGGGCTGTGATGTACCTCAGTGCAAAAGCCCTGGGATTAATCCTCAAGTACTGCAAAAAGATAAAGTTGAAAATAAGAAAGGCATTCCATATTATATAAAGATAATATATACCCATATACATATAACTAACTGAAAATAAGTTCACTGATGACACTCTTTCAAACCCCTAAACCAACCTGGGATATAAGTAACAAAGATAAAGAGAAAAGAGAAGGGCCACACGGGCTAAAGAGAATGTCTCACAATGTTCTCATCTTAGAGGGTCAACAATCAATTCAAAGCATTCATAAATGAGAAGTACAAACGATCACCATCATTCAACAATTCATTCAACAGTAATTTATTGAGCACCTCCCTACATGCCAGGCATTTTCCCAAACACTGGAGAAAAAAAGTGGTGAACAAGAGATAATGAGAACCTCAGGTTAATAATGTAGAAATGGATAGCTTATTATTGTCATTCTATAGACTTACGAACATTAATGTAAGTTTACAAATCACTTACAATATATTGAGATAGGTTATATTTGAGAGTACTTGGCCATTTTCTAATAAATTGAAGCTAAAGGCCACAAAGAGAAAAGTTGTCAGTGACTGCCTTGTTCATGGAGTTTCTAAAGACATTCATCATCCATCCATCCACCCATGCACCCATCCATCCATCCACCTACCCACCCATCCACCCATCCATCCACCCACCCACCCATCCATCCATCTATACACCAATCCATCCATCCATCCACACACCCACCCACCCATCCATGTGCTAGGCACTGTTTCGGGTACCAGGCTGTAGCACTGAACAAAGCAGACAAAGCTCCTCTCTTCGTGGAACTTACATTCTGATGTGAGCACCATGTCTTGATGGAAAATTGCCTGATCTGCAAGGCACATGTACCACACCCAAAACACAATTTTAAAAACCCTCTAAGTAACTCTCAGCTGAACTAATTAAGGACAGGGCTTAAAGGCAGTTCAGAAAATCCTAGTGTAAGAATTAGAATGAGCAAACTGTTGAGGCTGGGTTTCATTTTTCTCTATGCATATCATCTGAGATGAAAAGCAAGAGTCTGGGGGTGAAGAAAGCAAAGCAGGTGCGGAAAATCCAGCAAGAAAAACTTCACATTAAAAATGATGGCTAACGATATGAGGGAAACCCACTTGGGATCTCTCCTGTCTCTCAGGAGCTATTCCTATTCCCCATTCCTATTCTCCAATAAACCTTTCCTATTCTTAACCTTCTTTTAAAAAATGAAATAATAAGAATGCTACTGCAGTTCATTTTGAATACTCTGTGTGGTTTCAGCATCATGTATGTGTTCAAGAGAGATTTTCATCTGCTCAAAGTTCTTGCTATCACCAGCAAAAAACAAAACAAAACAAAATAAAACAAAACGAAAAAAAAAGCGCCGCTTGCCGCTGAATTACCTTTCTAGTTTTTCTGGCAATCAAGTCTTCCAATTGCATGGTAGATTTGGGGCACATGCACTGCCAACTGGATCAATATATTTTTAAATCAATTCCCCCACAGTCTTTGGAATCTGCATAATTTATATAAAAATTTAGACAAATTGATATTGGAGTCCACAGGGATTCTAGAATATCTGAATCTCAAAAAATTTTTTTTCTCTTATCTCAGTGCACACTAAAATCATCCATCGTAAGTAAGAAATGTTGGATGAATGTTAACTTTTTGACACAGAATACTAGTCCTGTAAAAATCTCAACAATGTGGTTATTTAAGAAACATTATTTATCATATTATTGTTGTACTGCATTTTCCCACAGAGAAGTGGCTAAAGACAGTAGTAGATCAGGTTCCAACCCTATGCAAGTACTGAATAAATACGATAGCAGAATAACTACAATTTAAAGAGCAATTTGTCAGGTGTAGCGGTGCATGCTTATAATTTCAGCACTCCGAAGGCTGAGGCAGGAGGATTGTGGAGGATTGCTGCAACCCCAGCTATTTATTTTATTTTTTATTTTGAGACAAGTTCTCATTAAATTGCCCAGGCTGGGCTTGAACTTGTAATCCTCCTACCTCGGCCGCCCAGAGTTCTGGGGTTACGGATGTCACAGCCATGCCCAGTTCATTGATCACTGTATGTAGATAAGAAATCTGAGACTTCAGGTTCATAACGTACCGGGTGGCAAATATGGCATTTCAACTCTCTGACTCCAAGGTTCATGGTCTTGGTCTCATATATCGGATTACACAGGCCTATGAAATATGTTATTCTGATGGTATTTTCCATAGTATATTCTAAGAGGATTCTTTTAGTCATGAAGAATTACTGAGAAAAATGGCTTTATGAAAGAGTTTTCAATGTCTATAGTCTGAGCTATACCTAGCCTATCTCATTAGATGAGAGTATAATGTTTTTAAAATGCTTAAAATGTTTTCCAAATTTATTCTACATCACCAACTAGTCCTAAACTCTGTGAGGGAAACAACCGTGCCTTGTGATTTTTGTGTCTCCACATTTTATGGCCCGCATCATCTGTGTTATACAGTACACTGTGAACAAATGTTACGACCGACTGAACAAATGAATGGTTGGACCTTCCTTGATAATTTAGGGCGATGTACAGCATTAGACTTCTATGTTAAACCATGTGCTCAATTTCACTAACAGAAAAAGTGAGCATATTATTTTTTAGTCTTATGAAACATAAAATTTATCACTTCTTTTTCTATGGATCAGGAGATGGCGCTCAGCTAGAATTTAAAAAGTCAAAGACCAGGAATTTAGCTTAGTGGTGCCGCCACCTGCCTCGCAAGCACAAGGTCCTGAGTTTGATCCCCAGTACCAAAAAAAAAGCCTTTATAAATCATGTGCAGGGTCATTTTCTGACTCAAAGTACTGATGTATTTCTACATCTGACTCAAAATATTGATGCATTTCTGATGATAAGTATATAACTAGGAAGATGGTAACAAATTAAACAGAAAACAAAATCATCTTGTGAGCAATACAATATTCCAATTCTTTGCCCTCAGCTCTATTTTTCTTTTCATTGATATTTATGCCTAAAACATCTGATTCCATCTAAATAAAAGAAATTCTGAGAAACAAAAAGGACTTCAGAGAAACACAGCAGCAAAAAACCAACAAACCTCCTAAGTCTTGTTGTCTCTCCAATTATTAAAAATAATTTAACAATCTACTATTTCTCATGATGCAGAGAAACTATGTTGTAAAAAAGTTAGGACCTTAAGTCATACCAGAAAATAAAACAATTCTGAGATTATATATTACTATTTTTATATTTATAAATCTATTATTATATGTTCCTATTCATATATTTGTAAATATGACTAGTATTTTTCTATTTATGTTTATGAATTCTGAAATTTATATATTCCACTTATATATTCCCAAGTTGTTTTAGCAGAGCTAATGTTTAAATAGAAAATGAGAATCATAACCATCAAATACAGATAGGCATAATGGGTAGTATGCAAAAACTTACAAACTGGATAATCCATAGATGAATAATTGAGAGTTGACATAATAATTGAGCTTCATGCTGATAATTATACAGAATAATTTTGCTTCATTTTATATATTTTTTAGTGCCAAGGATAGAATGCAGGCCTCATGCAAGCCAGGTAAGCATTTAACCACTGAACTATACCCTCAGCTCTGAAATAATAATTTTTTATAGTTTGATAGGTGTTTTCAACATGTGGCCAAAAAGGCCTCTCTCTTTTTTTGTGTACTACTGAAGATTAAATCCAGAAAGCACTGAGCTATGTTCTACCCTGCCCACCTCCCTTCCTTCCTCCCTCCCTCTTTCCCTTCTTTGCTTCCTTCTATCCTTTCCTTTTCTTTTCTTTTTTTGAGACAAGTTTTCTCCAAATTGCCTAGGCTAGGCTCGAATTTATGATCCTCCTGCCTCTGCCTCCTGAGTAGCCAGGGTTACAGGTACGTGCCATTGCACGTAGCTTGTTAGCTGACTTTAAAAATTACTAAGAGAAAAAAGTTTTCATACTTGAAGTGAACTATATAAGCCCCAACAAATTCACGACATATGTTTTTTAAATTATGTAATAGTTGTAAACAAACTGCATTTTAACTCCTATAAGGACCTGTATAGGCATGAAATACTCACCTAAAAGTGCATTTTTCCCATGATCATCCGGTAGAAAGCGCTTGTCTACGGCACAGACCAGGATGTGTTCAGGAAGATTGGGAGACTTGGCCCCCACCAGAAGGAACCCCGCCGGAATGTCGATCTGTTCCATACAGAGTGATACCAAACGCAAGTCCTTTCCTGCTTGACAAAAACCTAAAAATGAGTATAAAGGATACATTTAGGGAGCTTATGTCTCCTGATTATCCATTGGATGAGGAGGGAATCATTATTCAGCAATAAAATTAATCGCTCTTTGCTTAAATCAGAAGACAGGTCTATCTTATGTGAAAAAAGAGAAGAATTCCATCTGGTTCAGCCAAAATGACAACTCTTCCTTTTCTGGCCACAATAAGGCAGTGATAAATACACAGCAGATTTTGAAAAGTGCACGTAATTTTTGGGCGCACGTGATAACTTTTACTTTCAGTGCAAAGTCACTTATCCACACAGGATGATCACAGGACAGAGATGCTCTTAATGTTGCAGAGGAAGAGGCTGAAGCTCAGAGTTTGGAGACTCATAAATGGACAGGTCCGCAGGAGAGCTCCAAACTGTCAGGCTGTTCTCACCAGATGCGATGCGACAAATCCTGGTGTAATCACCCTGTATGCCATCTGTACTAGTTCATTAGTTTATCATCTTGTCAACAAACATTTATAACAGATGCTTGATAGGCCTGGGGACACGGCACTGACTGAACAAAATGTAAAAATTCACACTGTATCAGGAGAATGCTTAAAGAACCGATCATCCCAAACACAGTATGATACAGGACAGCTAGTTTCTAAGGCAGCTTTTCTGGGAAACAGCCCTCTCTGCACTGTAATCCTACGAGTCCCCTGGAGAGTTCATTCCTGATTGACCTGGAGCTGGCACTTGCTGAAGCTGGGCTACTTTCATATCCCATCCTTCTGGCCAGCGCTGGTGGATCCAGGGGTGGACACCAGGTACAGAACAGGCCAAAGCTTTTCCCTCGGATTTCAGAACACAGAGCCAGAGAAGACATAGTTCAGTTTGCTCTGTGGCACCTCTGTCTCCTGACCTGTGAGAGCAGTCTGTCAGCAGAGACGGGAGGCGAGGAAGGGAGCCTGGCAGGGTCTGGATCCCTGAAGCCCCGCTGTTTCTGCTTTCCCATGGTTTGCTCATGTAAACTTTAGCTTTGGAATCCCTCTAATAACTCCCTCATTCTACCTAAGCCAGTTTAACCGAGTTTCTGTCAATGCAACACAAGATCAAATACATATATGATAAATGCTGTGTTGGGTAGGCGTTGTGGAAAGATGGAAAATGAACATCTAAGTCTTCATACACAAACTTAGGGAGAGCACCACCATCATCTCCCAATGCAAAGTAGGAATGAACAACATTAGATTCTCTTGCCATCGATTCATATGATTTTAAACAAATGCCAACAAATAATTAGAAGTCATCAGTTGGTGTATGAGAAGTAAAAAGACAACTCCATTGAAACCCTGTGTGAAGCTGTGATCCATATAAACTGAACATATTGTTTGGTTCATCAAACTTCAAAAGTAGGTATGATGGTACTGGAAAAAGCCAACAGAAGAAATACAGCAGTGATAAAGACTCTGGGCTCAACCATTTCAAGCTGAAAGGTCCCCAATAACACCAACGAAAATCAAATGAACTTTGTAAAATTCCATAAGATTAGAAAAGTTTTATCAAAAGGTTACTATGAATTCTCTAACAATTTTAATGAATCTGCATTTTATTACTCACAATGTCATACATATGTATTTGAAAAATGTCCTTTATATATGTGAGACATATTACTTTATCAGCTTACAAACAATTTTGGAGCTTCTGTATACATAAAATCCCATGACAAAGTTCTGCTTCAGGTCTCAAAAACAGAAACCGGTCTCAAAGGTTTGGAAGTTGGACATTGATAATGATGACTTTGATGGCAGATAAAATTCATGGGCTACTTGCCATAAGGTAGGTACAGTATCAACACCACAAATTATCTTATTTAATCCTTTTAATAGCTATGGGTATGTATACCTCCTCTTAAAAACTAGAAACTGGGCCAGAGATTTAGCTCATTGGACTGCTCCTGCCTTGCAAGTGCAAGGTCCTGAGTTTGATCCCTGGTCCTGGGGCGGGGATAGATGGAGAAAATAAGTGTCCAAAAGGTTAGGCAATTTGTGAAGGTTATATAATAAGTCTAATAATGTTTAATGATAGAAGACACGGGAAATTTGCTATGTAAGGACAAACAAAAAGCATACTACTCAACTTGGCAGAAGAAGAGCTAAGAACAGTAATGTTTCAGTGCTAAAATTATAAGGGGATAAAAACAGACATTTAAATCAAATGCTAAAGTACAAAATCTAGGAGGCATTTGAAAGTACTAAAAGGAGTACTAATTTTGTAATTAAAGCAATTATTAATTTGCAAGTAGTATGCCTCAAAACAAGGTTTCCCCTAAGAAACCCTTTATTAAAAGCACAATTTGCTTCAAAAAGCATAGCATATACATATCTTCCCAGAATGTATGGATAAATCATTGATGAGAAGTTTGTGGTTGGCAGTTAATGGGAAACAGGATGCCTGGGGAGCTGCCTTCATCTCTAAGTAGGAATGCAATCTCTCTACTGAACAAGGGGTCTAGAAAGAAACTACAAAAATCAGTAGCAATTTTCAAATTATTACAAGCTTTTCAGAACATCAGAGTTACTTGGAACTTTGAGAAAATCTGACATAATACTTCTCAATAAGGGGCAATCACAAATTTCCAGGAACTCACAAAATTGTTCCAAGATACTTGAGAATTATAAGTGAAATTTAAATAAACATCATCAATTTCTAAAAACAGATTTTTTTTGTTTGTTTTTTTGAGACAGGGTCTCACTATGTAGTTTAGACTGAACTGGAACTCACTAAGTAGCCCAGGCTGGTCTCAAACTCACATCAATCCTCCTGCCTCAGCTTCCCAAGTGCTGGGATTACAGGCGTGAGCCACCACGCCCAGCCTAAAAACAGATTCTAATAGGTGATACTGGGCATCATAACCAAGTACCCTGCTAAGCAAGTACCCTGCCACTGAGCTACATCTCGAGTCCTTTCCCTTTTGGAGTCAGGTCTTATTAAGTCACCCTGACTGGGCTCGAACTTCTGATCCTCCTACTGTAGCTTCTCAGCTAGCTACGCTGACAGGCCTGGGCCACAGGATCCAGCTTAATTTTTTTGGTACCAGGGATTGAATTTGGGACCTTGCACTTGTAAGGCAGGCAGAAGAACCACTGAGCTAAATCCTGGCCTAATATTTTACTTTAAAAGAAAAATGTTCTGAGGACTTTCATCCAACACATGCAGAGGTAGTGGAAACCAGCGGAGTAAGCTCATAACTCATTCAGAAAACCTCATACCATTATGTGGTTTTCACTACTATGCAATTTCTAATTGTTTTTATTTTCAGCTGTATGTTTTGATATAATGCTTTATTTATATAAATAACGGGTTGGTTAAATATGAGAAACTCAGGAACTACTGACTGTGTTAATGACTGGAAAAAGAATAACTTTATAAATGTACCCCCAAAAAGGAGTTAAATTCATTCCCTACCCTCACTAATCAAATTATATGAAAAAATACATACAGATGTTTCTAGGACAACAAAATCTAATATTATAAAGGTAAAATATTTAGTGATTACGATGTAATTGGCTTTTTACATATGAGGGGGTAAAACACAATTTCTTCAGTAGAAAATGTCCACAAACAAGAGCTAAAACTTTCTTATCATATACAGCATAAATACAAAACTGTAAATATAAACTTGTATGTCCTTTTAATCTTGAAGTGTAGAAATTCCAAAATTTAAGTGTTAAAAGTAATTTTGACTTTTTTTAAATGCTGGAAAGCATTTAAATATACTTAGTTCCCCACAAGTACAATATTTTGTCTTTGAATTTTAAACAAAACATGCTTTTTCCTGCACATTCAATTCAAAATAATTTATAACAATAATTATTAAATTATAAAATGTAGACATTTTTCTTGTACAGCATGAATATCAGAGTATATTAATGTGCTAGTCCAAAATAAATATTTTCTACTTAAAAGTTAAGTCTTTATCAGATGTCCTGCAAGAGCAGAATTAGTTTTTAAACCCCTGGGGAGTTTAAAAGTTTCTACAGTACTAAAAGAGATTTGTGAGTCAAAAGATCAGGGAAGACTAACCTCTTCTAATCTTTTTAATATGTAAATGAGGAAAGGGCCTAGGAAGGGTAAGAAGATGGCCTAAGGTCAAATACCCAGAGATTAGAGTCGGTGGGACCGGAAGCCAGGTCTCTCGGCTCCAAATTAGAGACCCTTCCACCCCATCAACACCCCTCTGATGTAGGCCACGCTCCAGTAAATCCTTCCTCCACAATTTTTGCTCTGTCCTATCACCTAACTTTTCTGTGCCCTTTTCAGGCTGAATCCTGTGAGACATTTATTTGATATACCAGGCCCTGCCAACCGTGGACAGTGTCAACATCTACCTATCTCATACTTGCTCACGAATCCTTAAAATTCATGTTTTTAGCTGGGTACGGTGCATATGCTGATAGTCCCAGGTATGTGGGACACCAAAGCAGGAAGATCACGTGTATCCAGGAGCTCAAAGTCAGCCCGGGAAACATAGTCTTTGGCTCAAAAAACAAATAAAGAAAAAATTCTAGTGTTTACAAGCCACAAAGGTAATTCTTGCTTTGCAAGTGACATTTCTGATGTGATTTCTAGAGCAATACATTGCTGCAAAAGGAAGATCAGTGGACACAGTACGATTTTTGCTCTGGGATAAACAGGGACACAGTCGAGAGTGCAGGGTGGGGAGAGCCTAAGGAAAGCAGGCAACTCCTTTTCTAGGGGAGGAGATCACCTCATAGCGATTTCTGTGGCAAAATATAAACTATCCAATCCAGTGAAATGGAATACAGCCCTTGAGTTTTCCCACTTGTGGTATGGGGACACCTAGAGGTAAAAAGTAATAATTATAAAGCAGCAACTGGATTCTATGAGAAGCATATCTGGAAGTTTTAAAAACTATACAAAGAGATGCCTGTGATAGAAATGTTCCTATTTTATGCTTTACCCCCCTCAAACAGAAAGCCAAAGCCAACAACCCATCCCTCAATGATGGA